GACATCCAGAATCATGAAATGTAATGTAATTAAAGAATTAAGACCACCCAACCAATTCTGTTCCTTTAGGGGATGACCTTAATTAACCTTTGTTTCCTCGTAACTGTGATCCATGACCTTTGACCTCAGGGACATGACTTTTACCTTCTTTCATTGCTGCTGTTACATTTTTGTATACATGTGTATTATACAAACAATAGTGATAAATAATTTTCCATTGCATATGATTAGCCAAAAATTATAATAAGCAGTGAATCTACTACAAGTATATCCTTATTTTTTTAAATATGCAACTTACCACAAAACAGGGGATATATGATACAGGGAGTACACAGAATTGTTGCTCGCAGTGAAAATAAAATCATGCTGAAAGGAAATATTATATTTAATAAAAACAACGTTTATTTTAATTCTCCACACAGAACCGTCTTGGTGGCTACCAGATGAAGTTTACCGCTATGTAGAAGTCCAAGAGCACCAACCCCATTCCAACAAAAAACATATGGAATGTAGAATTTATTGTGCATCAAGATACACAACTGTAGTTTAAATTTTGAAGGCAAGTATCAACGTAATGCACGTATGTCCAACTGAAATTCAATAAAAATGTATACTAAAAGGAGTGTCACAATCTGCTTTCAATGTGGATTCATTTCCCAAACATATTATCTTTTACAACCAGGGAACAGAGAAACAAAGTTGTATAATAATATTTATTATTATTTATATTTTAAAATATAAAACAAATCAAAAACAAATATGAATAAACACTTTGCAACCAATGGTGAATACAGATAATACTTATAGTGGTATACCACAATTAAAATATTTGTACCGTACACTGTATTTATCTATTATAGTGCATATAGTCAGTAAAATATACAATAAATGCAATCTTTGGTTTATGCGAGCTTTTTGTTAGAGATGTGGACTCCAGTAAACTTTCTTTCAATAGATATCCGCAGGGGCGGATCTAGGATTCTGGAATAGGGGGGCTGATACAATTTCGCGAGCACCAATGGCGCGAAGCCCTGTTGGTTGTTAAAAATAGGGGGGCCGCAGCCCCCTCGGCCCCCATCTAAATCCGCCAATGATCCGGGTAGTTAGGTGAAACTGATTTTCCAGGAAATGACTTGCAGTCCTTTGCATCTGTCTTTAGAAAATAGAAAATAATGTTTGAGTAAATGAGAGTAAACTGTAAACAAACCCCACTTTCATTTTCAATCCTGGTCCAAACCTAGTAAAATTTAGTTTCTGATACATTAGGGTTCATGGGTTAAGCTATTAGTATTTTACTGGGTAAATGTTCAACGCAATGACTACCATAAACCTAATTGGTAACCATCAAAGTCTGTAGTTAGGGAAGACAACTATAAACTGAATGATATACTATATATTTTATATAATAGGAGCATCTGGGAAATGATTTTATGTTACTTTTATTTGGATAATGTGTAATTTATTGTCTAGTTCAAATTAAGTGACCTCAAATAACTGTGGCATAAGTTCGGGGCAGACCATAGTCGTCAGTCAGCATTCCAATGTGCGGGTGAGATGGGATGTATCCGTAAAACATGCTTGAATGTGCTAATTATAAAAATGAAGAAAATGTTTGTATTCTAGTAGGTTAATTTAGTTACCATACCATGCGTGATGTAGTATTGATATAAGGTTTGTTATGTACAAATTAGAAACAAAGTGCAACAGTTGCTCTATTAGTAGCGCATACACTTTCTTAAATGACATAGCTGTGTTTATAGTCAAAATAAATAATCTTTTAATGATCCAGCATACAATAAGTGCAGTGTGTGGTGTGTGAGTACTTCTTTTACAGATGCACTTCTAATAGAGTAAGTATGATTCTTGATCAGTGTGAGTAATGTTAATTGTTTGCAGTCAACATTGCAAGCCAGGGGAAAACTTTGTTGAAGTGAATATTTCATCAGATACTTAATAACAAGGTTACTCTTCCCCCTCTTCCAGACTATAATCAGTTTATATACTGTTATACAGTATTAAACTATATGATCAGTGAGAACGCCATCATCATGGAACACTGATATGTAAACGCTATATAATACGCCATTTACTGTTTACTACAAGATCCCACGTTATGTGTGAAAATCAAACATAAAAACAGGACAAATTAAAGGTCATAGTGATGTGGTGGGGTCAAAACATCGTGTGGGATTCAACAAACGCAAATGTAATTTGGGGTCATTTCTACACCTATTAATATGATATACAGTACACATTTGATGGTGGTCAACTTTGATGAAGTAAGGGTATCTTAACACCATGTTCTCTTTTGAAAGATCAGTATTTTGACATTGAGCTGAAAAAAAGAAATTCAAAACTAAATCATTTTGTAGCAGACGTCTGGCCATGCCTTTCATGCTATACACAAGGTGTTGCAGTGAATGGAAAATCACATATTGTGATGACAAATGTGATGATCAACTGAGCATAATTTTACATCAACTACTTTATAGGTTAGGGGCCTTCAATAATTAAAATGTGCACAGCAAACCTAATACTAGCTTTGTTAAACACTTCTCCACCCATGAAGGAAAGTTTACAAGAACAAATAAATGTAAAATGTACGAAATTATATATACATTGTGCACGTTTAATTACGGTATCCATTTGATGATCGTCGTATAGCACACATTAAAATTTGAAGATGTGATTCCAATAGATGAAATACAGTACCTTATCCAAGATATTTTCATAGTCTACCCCTCCCCTATCCTCACTCTTCTGTTTTTCACCACTCCACGTTTGTGATTAATTCGGCCAAGACCTGTTGAACCGATTAGCCATGGTATACAGCTGATTAAAGCAACCAGATGACCTTCAGCGGCTTTGCTAGGTATTAGACAGATTTTATGCACAGATAGATTTTAATCTTTCCTCAATATGATGATTGGTATCAGTCCAATCTTTCTTTCTTTCTACTTAACCTGTCAGCTCAGGATATCCCATTGTTCACCACTTCCTCTGTTATATTCCGACTTTCTTTGGATACAAAGGAATATGCAACAATAGTAATGAGGCCATTTACAAGTCATCAACCAAGAAGAAAAGGGCAGAGTTGAACAGAATGAGTCACAACGCTACTTTCACAATATATAAAGTAAACTTTAATTAAGCTTAAAAAACATTCATAAGTGAAAAGTATTTATTTACAGACCCAATTTAACAGAAAAGGGTAATAGTAAAATCTTGATGTGGAAAATGAAATCAAAACAAGATTTAAATAGATACTATCTACTTAGCTTTCAGATTATAACCAATTGTTCCTATGTATCATATTTGCTCTAATAGAAATGCATGTAAATACTGGGTCATTCAGATATTACTTATTTTGACCATAGACACATTTATGTAAGTGTATGTGCTACTAATAGAGCAAATACAGTATATATAGACTGGTAACTGTAAAGACCATTTGCATGACCCCCAGAGGTCACACATGCTGGTACTTTGCAGGGAATGAGCCATAACATGTTCTTTGGTGAAAAAACAAAATTGTACTTGGCAAATGCACAATAGGTTTAAAGTTTGATCTAAATAACATGTACAATGTAATAAATTACCAACCAGTGTGGAAATTCTGCCAAGTAAAATTTTTTTTTCTGAAACTGTTATCCCAATTCAATATACATGATGCATTCTCAAAATGTATCTACATAGGCACTTTTGGGCTATATAAGATTGGTGAGCAACTTAAGCACTTTTTTAAAATTCTTGTTGCAGGACATGCACAGTATTTCACATGGTCTATCCCTAAAACCATGGAAAGATTTGAATAAGATTCCTTAAAAAATATTTTAACAGACTTCTAATACAGGGTGACAGACAATGTGATATTATGATATGCAAATACAAAAACATTTAATTTTGTACATTATATATCCCCAAAGGATATTTGGAAATAATAGCATAATATATATGGTGGAATGGATATGGAATGTAGACTTTTTCTAATAACTGCTTTAAAAAAGGGTCACCTTATTTGACATGAATAGTAGACTTTTCAAATTTACTAGGTTTGTACACTGGATGTACCAAGCTGCCTGCATCTAAGTGTCTACAAGGGCTAGGCAGTAAAATATTAAGGCACAATTTTTATTCATATGAAACAAAATGCAAACTTCAAAGCAAATGTTACATACAAAGACCCTGTTTTCCATCAATGATATTCTTGAATAATAATTTTTTTCTGATTTGAAAAAAAATCAATATGGCAAACTGATGATAATACATGTATGGATCAATTCAAAATTGACTATTAAACACAAAGGGACATGAAACACAATACGGATTATAGATTTATACTAAGTATCAATCTGTGGGAAAACAAACTTGGATAATGGAATACAGATGAAAAAACCCTGCACCCAGTATGTATCTTGACCCGATTCTCAACCAAACTTTACCAGCTGACTCCTATTATTTCTAACATAACATGGGAGTCTACATGAAGCTGTGTGGTCTACCACTGGCACAGAACAGATCCATTACCAATAGGGTCACAGCAATCACACATAACAAAAAAGTTGGCTCACATACATTCTGGCACTCTAAGGCACTTTTTTTCTCGCTTTACTTTTTTTTTATAAAAACAAAACAAAACATAACCATCACCACCCTAGCACCAGATAATCAGATTTGTGTAAAAATATAACTTCAAAAAAAAAAAAGATTATTTTCATATTCAATATGTAACCAAATATACAAAGTAAGATGGGAAAGTGTTTTTTCCCCTCCCAGTAAAAAAAAATTAATTATTTAAAACTTCACTTAACCATTTGAATGTTGTTTTTTCCAACCAAGTATTTTTCTATAATTTCTTTGTTAATTTAGGGCTAAATGTATAGATTTTCCAATTACCCACACATTTTGGGAAAAAAAGATGACTTTGGCATTCAAATAATTAAGCATTTTCAGGAAATGGTAATATATCTGTCTAGGATATTCTAAATAATGCTGCCCCCAATGTTTCCTGTGACACATATATTGTCTGTAAAGGATCAAATGTAATATACTGCTACCGGCTACCAAGTCCAGACCACTAAGCATCCTATCTGTCAATCAATGCTATACAAACATGTTTTTATTTGACAACTTACAATTTCTTGAGATATATTAACATTATGTATATTTGATGGCTAACCAAGATTCATTTTTTTCAGATTCATATAAATATCATAAAAAAATATTGTTTACATAATATCCATATTGGCTTTGCTATATAGAATGCTATATATATAAAAAAAAATTGCAAAAATCAAAGTTATTTCACAGACTGACCAATCTGGCATAGGAATGATAGATAAGGTTTCTGCACGCTGGTGGTTGCCACTCGAGGTTGCATTTTTCTGCTGACAGGCCAACGTCCATTAGCAGCAACACACATGGTTTAATAGCAACCGTTCAACTGTCATGCTTTATTGCTATAGCCAACAAGCTTTAAAACTCAACCTGTATCTCTTAGTCTCACAGCCGTGAATCTATTGTTATTTCCCATGACTAACTATTTCTAAGATCTCTGAGTGGCGGCTGTGTTGGCGACATAAGACTCCCAGTTCTGCGGGTGACTGTCCTCTTGAGTCGGTAAAGGTGACATAGCTGTTGTTGCAGTTGCGAGTGGCGTGTATATCGGAGAGTTCATGTAATGGTATGGTGGGGGCATGCTGCTGGTGGCACCGCTGTAGTATTGTGAACTTGATCCTTCCTCCTGGTAGTTTTCATACGATGACATAGTACGGGGAGGGTAATTGTTATTGTTATACTGTTGTGGCAAATTAGCATAAGAGTAGTGCGTTAGGTGTTGGTATGGTGGTTCCATCTTCACTTGTCCTGGTACGGAACCTGTTGACCAGTTAGTTCCAGGACTGTTAGGTTGGCTACCAGAATTCCCGGTACTATAGTTGTGCAGGTAAGTATCGCTGCTCTCCATGGTTGAAGGAGGTTGGGGAGGGGGTGGTGGTGGTGGTGGTGGTGGTGGTGGTGGAGGTAACTGGGATACTGATTGTCCAGCATTCAGATGGGGGTTGGAGTTGGGGGGTAAATATTGTTCAAATTCAGTCACATCAAAACTTTCCATCGTTCCCATCACCTCAGTGCTTAATTCTCGGATATCCACACCGTTAAAGTCAATTTGGGGGTCCTGGTCTCCACCACTCCTGTTACTCATTTTCATTTTCTTCAGAGGAGGTCCATGTTCCCTGTTTTCAGCACTGTTTGATGAGTTTTCAGTTTTTGGTGTTGTGGGCGGTGTTGGAGGACTGTGTGCTGTGGTGCTACTACCGCTTGTACTATGCTCTTGTTTTCCAGGTGAATTCTCTCGCTGCAAAACTTTAAAGAACCCAGAGGAAGGAATTGGACTTGTAGCATTTCCTGATTCTTCAGACCCATTTTGCTGACCGTTCTTCACATTTTTTCGGCGTCTAGGCTGATATTTGTAGTCTGGGTGATCTTTCTTGTGCTGCATACGTAATCTTTCTGCTTCGTCCACGAACGGCTTTTTCTCTTTATCAGACAGCATCCTGGGAAATGGTAGGAAACGAAAAACGGTTTATAAATAAATTAATTTGTATTGTATTGTAACAAGAGCGACAACCAATCGTGAACAGGTAGCAAGTTTCCTGTGTTTTTTCCTATGCTCAGACGGTCACGCAGGGACAGGAAACGGTGTGTTGTGATGTGCGATCACCATGTATTTAATTTCCCAACTGACTCAGAGTGCATACTACAATACGCCAAGAAGAATAACCATTGAGATAACGATGCCCCCATTTTTCACTCAAAAGGAAGCTCCGTGGCCCACTTCTGCGGTCTCAATAGATAAACATAATCAACAAAATGTACGTGCAGCAGTGGTAATCATTCGTTTTAATAATATACATACCGAAATGATTTTCCCGCCTTGGTTGGCCAGAGAAGTGATTTCAGTTAACACCGCGTATGAAACTTAAAATATACTGTAAACATATATAATAATGTGAAGGAATTAGTGTCGCCTTACCTCCAAAGCTTGCCAAGTGTTTTACTCAGTTCAGCGTTATGGAGATGTGGATACTGGTCAGCTAGTTTCTTCCTCGCTGCTTGAGCCCATACCATGAACGCGTTCATGGGACGTTTCACATGCGGCTTTGGTTTAGATCCCGAACTGTTTCTAACTGGCATCGGTACTAAAGTCCAGTCGTAGCCCTTCAGAACCTCACTCACGGCATCGCGGATGTTGTCTGGCAACTTCTTGTTGGACAGCTTGTTTGAACTCGAGTTTTCAGAATCCGTATCGGACTCGCTCTCCGCCTCTGATTTAATGCTCAGTTCTTCTGAATCTTCGAAACGATTCTCCAATTCGGGACTGTCAGGGTCGTTCATGCTGGAAAGGAACGTGGAGGGTAACATACGACGATGTGGGTAGCTTGGAAGACGACGGGCGTATATACGCTGGGGTTGGACGTCGGTTACTCGGCAATCACAACCATGCACTGGTGTCAGTGTAACCGCGGTGGTGTATATACCTCGCTGTCAAGCTGCCGGCAACTATCGTACTTCTGTACCAACTGTTGAATGTGGTGGGCTGTCACTGCCTATTGACATAATTAAGAAAACAACACTCATTAAAATTTAATCCACCCCTGTCTGGGCTCGCCATCAATCATATCAATATACTGAGTTCCCATTGGTCGAAGAAAGTTGATGTAATCCTACCATGTTATCGAAGATTGTGATTGGTCGAGCGGCTTTTATAGTGCTGAGTTAACTGTCATACGGAAGCCATCTCGGATTTCATTTAATCTTCTGAAACCCCTACCCACCTATGAGTAATGTCTTAAAAGTTGAAATACTCGGTTTCCGGTCATCGGTGGGTGACATATGCTACGCTGCCTGTAATTACTAATAACGGGTAACTATATATAGCGAGGCCTTACATGATTTTCGACTCCCTTGCATACACATTATATTTGACACAGTTTGAAGATACCAACGTCTGGGATACCGTGGCCTCGGTACGGTCACAGTCCCTCTATCATAGAGGGACTGTGGTACGGTGCTGGAATAAAACTGACCATGCGTTTACGTTGAAAGCGTGGGTTATTGCCAAGTACACTACAGTGTGCTTCATCAGGGGTTAATAGTATGTAATTATGCTGCCCGTTATGGTGCTTTGTGAAGAATAAAAGAAGGAAATTTAGTCGAAGAAAAGCACTTGATGTCACTTCTTTTGATCGGCGTATAAGAACTGAACCTCGATTGAATCGCGAGTGCAACGCCATTGTTTACATATGTTCTCTTTCTAGCGTATTCATTGAAAGTGGTCCGGGGTAATAATTTTCATATAAAACAAACAGTGTAAAGAGGTTCGGTCGAATGAAAATGAAGAGCCAGGGGAAGTAGAACGGCCCTGTCCCCAAGTTTAGTGTCAGTAAATTGAACAAAACTTAGTGGCTTGGGTACATTACTCTACGTTAGCTAAGTAAATGTCCGACGCAATTTGATCAGCTTGCGTTACAGTGTTGGGATTGCTCTTCATGGCGTCGCTTAGAAACTCGCGATATCTTCTATTTTCTTAACGAATATCTATTGAAATGAAGATGCTATTGGGACAGTGCCTTTATTGGAGTGTTATGCGGGTCAAAATGGGTTGTACACACAGGGCTGCTCAATCAAAGTTCTTCACTGAGTTTTTACGCCCCCACGTAGGCACCGGTTATCTGCCTCCATGGTGTACGGTAAACAGTTCCAACAATTCACGAGCACAATGTTACTTGAGTGGGCCCACCATGATAGTTTACAACAACGACGAGCGTCAATCGGTGCCCATCTATGATATCATTCCACAAATTAAGTGCCAATTGTTGGTAACGAACTTGTCGTTTTATAATAAAGGTTAGATTAAACGTTTCGTTTTGAAACCATGTCTACGCATCTACTCTGGAAGGTTACTCGCAGCGCATACCTAGGTTGTAACGGTGTCCCCACAAAAACCAGGCCTGCGAGACGAATGTACTTTTGAACTTTAAAAACCACACACGCCGAACTTAAAACCTACCATAACGACCATCGATCAATTCACTGTGTGCATTGAGAACTTGAAACTAACTGCGCCAAATTCGATTAAAAAAGTAGCTAACAGTCGTCGTTATGACATTTGGATATTTAAACCGAGTCAATTTTGTTTTGTATACACTGGGCTTACCTGGTGAATTACTAAACAGTTAATCCTTTAAAGACAATATTCAATCCCAAAAATGGAGTTACAGTATTTCATGCATTCATTAATTGTATGTGTTCATGGCTAAATGATTATTGTTATTTATAATAACGTTTTTAATTTGATTTTATCACTAGACGATTGCGCGTGTATACAACTTCCGTCTCAAGTTTATTTCTATGGAAAATCGCCGGACCCCGGATACGACTGGTTGACCCAAAAGCTGCAACTTTGAAAGCCCTGGGAAAACTGAATTGTATAATGACGACGTGGATGAAGAAAACCTCGGTCATACAGTGTGGTATTGCATACAAGGGAAGCCTGAGTGTTTGATATAGCACACGACTCAGTCGTTCTTCGTCAATTTCTCCAGTGAATGTCAAAGGCCTTACCATATCCGGTCAGCGAACTTTTATTAAAGCCTTGCAACAATATATGATACTGTCATGAACTCATTCTAATTTGATTCATTGCCTTTTTGTGGAATTATGTCAGAAATATAACTGAACTATATGAATAAAACTAAATATAACTCGGGTAACGGGGACATGATATGAGCACTCTAGTTTTCGGGACACTTTACACTCTCAAAACTACGTCTCCATATCTTCACTCACCACCTAGGACTGCACATGTAATTTACACTGTACACATTCTCAATGAGGGGTGGGGGTCCTATGTAGGTTACAAAACACATGCATATAGGCATAGCCACTCAACTCAACAGACCCGTGATATAGGCATGGAAGTACATGATATAGGTAACGTGGTTTCAAGGCCAGTCGATTCGAGCATGGGTATGGGTTTATTCAAGCGTTTCCAATTGACAGGAGTAGTGAAACAAACCTAGTCCGATACACAATGAGCACGAGTGTACTATTTTTGAATTTTAACCAATATTTCTACTGAATATATCTCGCACCTGTCCTCAGTTGACATAGCGTGGTTATCAGTATACAACTCGTGACACCCAAGGAAAACTTGCGAACGCTGCCGACTGGGCCTCTCTTGCAGACACCTGCACAGTGAATGCATGTGGTAAAATACGATACATCTATAGCCAATACTCAACGGATACAATTTGTTGAAAGCATGGAGAATGTGGTTGGCTGCCGTTTCCTGAACGAATGAAATTAGAGACAGCGTAAAAACATCACAGAATTGCAAAATATACCGGATACCAGACTGGAATATAATTATATGTGACCTGCCTGGACCACCCGGGAAACATTGATAATGATCAATGACAATACCAATGAAAAATTGGTCACAGAATCTCCCCCTCCTCCGGCGAGAAGTTAAGAAAACACAGGGCATACACTCGGGGCATCTGGTGAATAAAACAGCTCCAACTGTGACACAACTACCAGTCCCGAGTAATTGTATCTGGATAAATATAATTAGCATCAGGGTGTATGAATTAACAAGAACTTAGGATAAAGATATGCGTTATCTGGGTGGTTTAAAGAGACTGTAAGTCAATTAAACGGTACACGTGTTCCTTTTAACTTTGAAATATTGACTTGGCTGATATTACATTGAGTTTCTTACTACTACATCCATGATATTATGTCTAGTCATTGAGCCAGACGTAAATCCCTATATTCATTACCGGTTTCCCCTGTCGACATTCTGACCTACTTTAAATCCACAACATCGAACCCATTTACTAACTGATGTATGTATTTTGTTGTATAGGCACGACTGCATTTCTCAACTTTATTTGTGTATATTCTATTTTTTACGTTTAGTAAATATATATTTTTAAGTTAATGTTGGGTGTTTGTGTGTGTGTATCCTCTATGGCACCGTCGTACACATGGTTACCATGTTGGACCGTTACTATAGCTACATTGGCTGCGTGTAACCATGGTTACATCACTGCCAGACATGTCCGTGTTAGCGTAATTTGAATGACCGCTATTTGCTAAAAAATATATTGTGAAAAACAATTGCATTATAAACTAGCTTGTGGACATCGTTTGCCAATGTTTGATTGGATTTTGTAATTTTCGCAATTTAGTACTTAATCAAATATCAAATCAACAGTTTTCGCTCTTTAATGAAGAGAAAAATAAAAAAGAAACTTCCTATTCAACTATGGTTTTGTTCTTTTCATGTATACGGCACTAAATACTAGCTCCCGGCAGCGCAACTTAATTATAATTCGATATCGATAATTGAAACGATCAATTCAAAACACCAGTCTTCTTCTATAAGTAAATTGCATGGTACGAAATAACATTCGAATAAAAACGTTGAGATGTGCTCTTTTCTGAATGCATGCAAACCAGCGACTTCAGTCTGTAATCTGTGTTTAACAGTGTACTTCATCTAAGATAATGATCCTCCACTGTCACTGTGATACTGCTATGTTTTTGTTGTTTCCGTCATTTATCACAAAAACAATTCACCGAGAATGCAGGTGACGACGACTATGAGGTCATTCCATCTATTCACGACTAAATAAACCCCCTAGCACTGCCATCTTTATATGGGTCGCAGGTGGTTGTTAAGTGGTATTTAGTTGTGATTAATGATTAGTAAAACTTGACCAACACGTTTTATATTTAAAATACAGAGGCAAATGGTCCATTTATTTACATAGTTACAATATGTACTCTCTAATATTCCAATAATTTATGCTAATCAACTACTTACTATTATTATTACTGTAGGTGGCTGGATCAGTTTGATTCGAATTAAATCTTTTTTGTAATTTTAGTTTGTATTCATAGTTACTGTTTGTCTGCAGAAATATTGTATATATTCGCGAGCAGACAATTACAACTAACTAGATAATAAAAGTAAAAAAATATGAACAAATGATTTGAACAAGAATAATCAAATAATAGTAATACAACTGAAAAAAAGCGAAACAAGAAAAATCAGACTGGTCGCTAAGCATCAATCGTAAACAAATATTTACTGAAAAGTAAACAGGAGGAAAAGAGTTTGCATTGAGGTGCATATTGAGGCACTCGTGTCTTTGAAAAAAAATGTATGTCACTCCGATGAACGAAAATATAACCTAACCACGCATGTATACATAATGGTCTAACACTTAGCTGTCACCAGTCAGCGCCAACATGAAGAGGCATGTTTGCACCAAGGTTCGTGAGCAAATGTACTAGAGAATGTATAACCCACTTGTCGTGCTTTCAAGATCATGAGTAAATGATGCTATACAGTTTTGGCACCTGGACCGATGCGCTATTGGCA